AGGGGGGATCAGCAGGCATTGGGGGAGTCGCTGTTCCCCCGAGCACCGCCAGGAGTGACCAGGAATAACGGTCCCAAGCTGGCAGAGGGTAGGTTTAGGTTAGACATCAGGAGGCGCTATTTCACGGTCAGGGCAGCTAGGGTCTGGAACCAACTTCCAAGAGAGGTGGTGCAGGCTTCTACCCTGGGGGTTTTTAAGATGAGGGTAGATGACCACCTTGCTGTGGTCATTTGGCCCCAGTACTCTTTCCTGCCATGGCAGGGGGTCAGACTAGACGATCTTCTCAGGTCCCTTCCAACCCTAGAAACTATGAAACTATGAAGAAAGAGAGTGTTCAGGGAAGGTGGGGGAAAGTACTGAGATAGTTGTAGGTTTGTTGTGTGCTGTGCAGGGAGCAGATTGTGGTTCTGCCCTGGCCTTTGCCTGCCCATCCTGCTCCCAGACACCACTCTTTGCTCACCTGCAGCCCCATCCTATCTGACCAACCAAGTGCACCCTGCCCACAGGGGTCCCAGCTAGTGTCCATGGAGACCCTGCATACCTGCTTTGTCCAGCACGCCTGGCGGTGAGTATGGGGTGAAGTGGCTCACAGCAGATAGTATCAATTGCTCACCCAATTCCTGAAGTGGCCCTCCAGCCAAAAAAAATTCCCACCCCTGGAATAGATTGAGGCAGATTATTTGCCTGGCTTCCATGTATGAATATATTTGACTTTAATATGATTCTCCAAAGAGTAAAGTGAGAGTAAGCTTTAGTGACATTAAGGGTGCTAACTTGTCTTGCTGTTATCAGTATGCCAAGCTTGGCCTGACTTTGGCAGTCCCAGGAGGGGGAACAAAGAAGAAATCCCCAAATGCTCCACAGGACAAAGGAAAAGGAACACCCACAGTTGGCACTCATGCTGATGAAGATGATGATGAATATTCTGGTGGATTGTGCTAGTTGCAAATATGTTTATTCCTGTATATCCAACTTGCTATTTGTGGATGTTGAACATATCAAAAGGTACCAGAATTACAGCGCTTCATTGCAGTCATGATATTGGAATGCTAATAATGATGACAATAGCTTTCAGGTACTGTGACAAGCATGATTGTACCTACCATCCTTGGAGAATTGTTGGATTCCATTCCTTACAGATTAAAAGTTTCCTTAGGGTTCTGCCTTCTGTTGATTGAAAAAATTGAATAATATGTTCTTCTTAAAGGCCATGGCTTAAAAAAACTTAACCCCATTTGGAGAAAAGCACTGTAACAATCAGAATTTCAAATTAAGGATTTCTAAAGTAAAAAAGAACAATAAACTTCTTTAGGTTCATTTAATCTATTAGTGATTCTTTCTTCCCACTGAATACTGTTTAAATGACCATTAATTTTGGTGTAATTTTAGTGCACACAGTATCTTTTTAAAAGACTCTAATTCTATGCCACATAAGATAGTGATACAGGGTGAAGTCTTGGGAATGAGAGGGGCATGATTCTGTTTGTTTATTTGTGCACCAAACTGGGGTTATATTTTTTAAGTCTTATTTTTATTAATATTATTCACAGTGTATAAATGGTTCTGGAAAATACAGAGTCACTCAGCAGTAAGACATCATTGAAGATCCTTTAAGATAGCCCTATTATTTGATACCTGTGCTGCTTTGACTGAAAGATACCATCTTTGTTATGTATGTGTGTTCAGTTTGTAAGGTTCTGTTTGTAATGTACATCTTGGGAAGGAGTAAGGACACAGCAATTAATTTCATATGAGTAACGTCTCCCAAAAAAGCATGATGTAATCAAAAACGAAACAAAGTAGCAGAGGGTATGTGCTGAATATAAAATCTTTGCAGAAAAATATTAACAAAAATCTGGGAAAGGGTTTTATTTTTGAAAATAAATATTTTTAAAATGGTGTTTTCAGCTTTTGTGTTTTTTCCTCTGAATTTGAATATATTTCCTCTAATGTTCATTTAAGTCAAGGCATAAAGCAGCCAGTAGGTAGATGGTGTTGAATTTTGTATCACTGGTGAAATTCTCATTAGTAATTCAGCAGTTTGTGAAGACTATAAAGGTAGCTTACAAATACGATGCATATTCTTTGGGCCCAAAACAGCTATGTTCTCCACTCTATGTGATTCCTAAATATTGTCAAGCCCTATGCATGGTTTTTGCAATGCCTTTACCCATATGACCATTTTGTGCCCACAGAAGTAGTTTATACTACAGAAGAACACAAGATCCATTATGAGCAGAGGTCACAGAGAATCCACCTGGAATTCATATGCATTGGAAGCTGGCACAATTCAGGATAGCCAAAATGAAAATATGCTAAGTGAGATGATGTTGCTCTTCTGTTATGCATATGTTCATAGACCCTTTTAAAAGGACTTCAAAGATTCTCTGATTTGCTGTTTGAAAAGTATGAATTCAAATTTTGGAGGAATTAGCCTCAATAAATTGAACTTTATTTTCCATATGTTCATGGAAATACAGCATATTCTAAATGGTGAGTGCTTTTAAAACTTTATAGACATCCCCAGTACTTTTTATACTTTGAACTTTGACTAGACTGGGAGTGTGAGGCAGTCTGACAGATGCATAATCTGGAATATTTGAAAGGGGGGAAACGTGACCTACAATGAGTGAAGGCAGCTAAGGGCTTGTGTGCTTCTGGTGAAAAGTCCTGCAGATTTTTTAAAAATTGCACAGGGGCTAAAACGCATGTAAAGATACAAGCCTATCTGTTCATTTTGTAAACAAGCACTTCTTGTAGTGTCTGTTTTAGGTTGTCCAAAACCAAGTTAAACACTAAAACCTAGATTTTTAAAGCTTTACAGTGAGGTTTATTCCTAGACAACTCCTATCTATATTGATAGAGGATTTCCAGTTAACATCTGTTTACCAGTTCTGGAAAGTAGGAACAAAAAATCTTTGTACTAAACATGCAAATCTGCCATTAGAATGAAAGATAATATTAATCAAAGAGATTAAAACCTTAATATTTGATTGCAGTGTTGCTCTAAAGAATGAAATCTGGAGACATGGTTATTGCTGAAAACTAGATAAAGTCTATTTTATATAACTTACTCTTTCTTATTTTAGTTAATGGAAGTGTAATATGACTGTTATTGCCTCTACTAAATGTTTAACTAGAAACAAAGCTTTCTGCATATTACATGTTGCTGTATGTTTCTACTTTCTAAAGCAATTTGCACATGTTTTGTAATTTATCAGTGAAATGATGATTTAAAGTGAAATGTGTTTTGCAGCAAGAAATTTCTTCTCCAAAATTATGCCAACTCTAAAAAAGGAAAAGAGAGTTTGCATAAAAACTCTGAAACATGATTATGAAGTTTACTGTACATGAAGTCAAAGATATATAATTTTTATCTTGTGTTTACTATGACTGAATTGGTATGCACATATGTGTTCATGCAGTGTGAAATTTGTGCTTTATCTGTACCTTTTCCAAATCTGTGCAGCATAATAGCATATGAAATGTGTTTGTAATGGCTTTATAGATTCCTCCTCTTTGAGAAAAGGTCTGTTTCACTAACATAAAAATAAAACCTGAAATTATAAACAAGTTCTTCCTGTCAACAATCAACTTGCATCGTATCCTTCAGGAGTTCAGAATGGGTAGATCATATTCATTTCCAAATGTCTCTTGGAGATGTAAAATCAGACAAAAGATGATCTCCCAGTCCAGGTTCTTAAGTTTGAGCTTGCTGCCTGTCAGCTAAACTGAAACCAAAAGTAGAGATGAAAGCTGTTCTGTGAAACAAACTGCAAGTTCTTACAAGTGTAAGTACCACTATTTATTACTATGTAAAGAGTGAAATGAAGTAGTACATGACTCTGTGATCAGTTGAGTTAGTGATAAGGATGTTTTCTGATGATGCAAGTAAAGAAGCAGCATTATTCTAGGGCTCAGATAAAGTATATTTATTTCCTCAAACAGACAAATCTGAGGCCTTTGCATATGTTGTTATGACTTCAAATTTATTTCAAACAGGTTTATTTTTAAAAATATTGTATATTTAGCATGACTTCCTTTTAGATTTCTAAGTATGTATTCCCGTCTACAGATACCTGACAGATTAGACCTATTATTTATTTTTCTATGTAAAGTAAAAAAAAAATCCAATACTGCTTTTAGCATTTGAAAGACTGTTCAAATCTGTTAGTAAGCCGTCTGTCCTGGACTTATTCCTTTGTTGGTTTATTGTAGGAATCTCCAAATCTAGACATGGTTTAAAAGAAATGTATGTGCAGCTACTAACTGGAATAAAATTGTCAAGTGTCAACATTAATTTTGTTTCCTTTTGTTCATTAAAATGTGATCATGTTAAGGTGACTTGCGGTGTCGTAGATACTAGGCACTTCCATCTTGGTGGCAGGGACACTGCTATTGGAGTCTATTTTGCAACTTTTACATAGTAAAAAGACTAGCTTTGTTTTAATAAGGTCCAGTAAGATCTGCAGTAAGTTCAGTAGTAGTTTTTTTTTCAATAGGAGCTGCTTTCACCCTTAAACAAATGAGCAATTAGTGCCAAGAGTATTTTGCTAGTGGATGGTCATTTTTACTTCCTCCTAATAAGCCATAACATGCTTACATTAACAGTAAAATATGTGTTGAGCATTTGTCGTGGTATGAACTCTACCACCTCTATATTTTTCTCATTCCAATTAGAACAATTTAAGTCGGTCAGTGTTTTTTTTCTGCCCTGATTTTTCTTTCTGCTTTCAGTTTTGGCTACGAAAGCAAAGACAGATGCCATGGTCATCTTTCAACATAATGAGGCTAAGCTTTTGAGGTAGGGCAAGGACAGTGGTCAGTCTGTATCTTTTTTTTTTTTTTTTTACCTTTGTGTTT